ACTACCGGGATGGGGGGGACACTACCGGGATGGGGGCGCCGGGATGGGGGGCACTACCGGGATGGGGGCGCCGCTCCCGGGTTGGGGGCGCCGCTCCCGGCCCCTCCGCGGCCCCCGAGCCCCCCGCGCCGCAGCCGCCGCGGTGCTGACGCCGCTGCGGATGCTGCTCGCGCCGCTCTCTACTATTATCTTTTTTTTTTTCCTTTTCTCCCTTTCTCTTTTTTCTTTCATTTTTTTTCTTTTTTTTTTTTTCTTTGTCTAATTGCATTTTTTTTATTCCTCCCCCCTCTCCCATGCCCTCCCCCGGGGGTAGGACGGGGAGGGGACCTGCAGGGTTAAATCACAGCGATTTTCAAGTACAAAGAGCGAGTCCTTCCCTCCCCCCCGGCAGCCCTGCAGCCTCTGCGGACTGTGGGTGGCTGCAGGGCCGAGACAGGGAAACCTCGCGGTCACCCACCCTCGGAGCACCCTGGGGTGCTGCTGCCAGGGCAGGAGCCAGGGGCCTGGGCCTCTGGAAAGGAGACCGGGCTGCAAACGGGCAGCGAAGCCCGGGCCAGCGCTCTGCTCTCCAGCCCACCCGTGGTTCTGCGGGGCTGGGGGCTGCTGTTGGCCCACGGTCCCCACGGTGGCCACAAGTCCCGACTGGAGGCTCTGCTGCCGCAGGGCTCTGGCAGCCCGAGGGCAGCAGCGCTGGGCAGCGAGGCGGCTGCAGAGGGGCCTGGCAGGCGGCAGCCCCTCTCCTGTGCCCACCCTCACCTCAGTCCTGCTGTCAGGGCCCTTTCCAGCGAGCTGGAGGGCACAAATCCGCTGCGGAGCAGCCGGGACGCTGCTTTGCCGCCCAGCCAGCGCTTTAGGAACCTCCTCGTTATGTGGCACCCAGAAGCACAAATGCTTGGGAGGACAAATGCACAGGTTGCTGCTTCTCAATTCTGGATTTTCTTAAACCTCAGCACTAGTTTTTGTTGGTTGGTTGGTTGTTTTTCCCCCAACAAAGCACCCACTGAAGCAGCCCTGCACTAGGCCAGGGTCTAACGGATGCCTTTGTGTGTGTGGCTGTGTGGCTATGGCCTAACCTTGGCCCTCCAGGTCTGCACTAACAAAGCCAGACCGGTCCTCCCGCACTGCTGGGACCAGCCAACAGCAGTGACCACTCGGAGCTTTCCCTTCATTTCCCGTAGCAGAAATTCCTCTCCCGGCCTGTGCAGGGAGCTGGTAGTCACCCCGGGCATGTTTTGCAAGACCAAACCCAAGCACGTGCAGGGAATATTTGCTGTGAACACAAAGCCACACCACGGAAATCCAAGAGCATCGCATGTTAAGCAGGGCAGCCAGAACGGTTGGAGCCAAAGGGGATATTTTCAACCGTTCCCATGGGTGGAAAGGGATCCAGCCCCAAGCTCCCCTCGACGGCTTTGGCCAGTGCCAGGCGAGGCCGTGCGGCCCGAGCCCTTCCCGCTGGCGTAAGAGGCTCCGGTAACTAAGAATGACAACGCATGACAGTGCGGATTGCCCTGTGAGAAACCCTGTGCGATGGCAACGAGGTCCCGCCCGGCTCTCGAGTTTTGCAAGGAATCAATTTTAGACTAGAAGGGTCAATGCGCCGCGGCAAGCCGCTTCTCCAGGAGGCGAGCAGATAACTTTATTTGCCAAGGGGCTGCAAAGGGGAAGCATCAGGTCGCCCAGGAGCCGCCGTCCTCCTCCCACACCCTGCAGCCCTCAGGATTTTGTCTGCAGAAGCAGCTGACACGCAAATTACGGGGGAAATATTAGGAGGAAATTAAATCAGGGCCGCATTATTCATTCATAGAGACGGGAGGAAGCTGTGAAGATAAGTGCTTTGATGTACCCAAGACGCATTGTTCGTGGAGAAGCCTTTCTTTTCTAATATTGCCTCTTTTTTTTTTGTTCTTTTCCCTTTATTTTGTGTACATGGAAATGCCTCCCGCCCCCCGACGACAGCCCGGGCTCAGCTGTGCTCGCAGTATGTCCCCATGTCCTGCGCTGGGAGGGGGCAGCGGGCAGAGCCCGCCTTTGTTTGCAGCATCTGCCTCGCAAGGCCAAAGTATATATATAGTGTGTGTATATGTATGTATACGTGCATATATATATATATATATTTTTCCCTTTGGAAGCTCTGGAATTAACTTTTCGGTCATCTCCTTGCTGGCATCTCCTCACACATCCTCGCTAGCATTGAGGACTGGGAATGTAGCAACCAGCAGGGACAAAATGGGTTATGAGCCCAGGTGATGTTGCTCTTTCCCCCTGAGATTGAGAATTACTTTTATTCCCTCTTTTTATTAATTTCTTTGGACGGGATGTCAATAAATGTTTTTTTTTCCTCCCTTGGTGAGTTCAAGGCTGCTTAGTCCAGATAAAATCCGGTGGGCAGCTCGATTTTGTGCCACACTCTGCGTAGCTCTGCTTCCCTGCAGGATGCTGCTCTCCGGGAGCCCCCTTAATGAGCCACTAATTAGGGAGAGGCCAGAGCAGCCACGGCCAGCGTTGGGCAAGGGGTCACGGGCACAGCTGGCCCTCCCAGATTTCGGCATGCGTGCGGTGGCAGCAAACCCAGGTCTTGAGTTGGGGACGCTGGAAGCCAGTCCAGATCCCAGGGCAATCCATTCTCACAACGGGATCAGCCCCGGATCCTGCTCATTGGGCACCATGGGGACCCTGCCTTGGCATTAGCCTGAGAAGAACCCCCAGCCTGGACAGGCAGGAGGGATCATTGAGGTGGGATCATTGGCAGCAAGTGCAGCCGGAGGCCTGTAGCCAGCAGCGTGCCACAGGCTACAAGAGGGGGCCAATATTACCCAACTTACTCATGAATGACCTGCGCGAAGGACTGAGTCTTTACTGTGAGCGTGACCGAGCCCTGGAAGAGGTTGCCCAGGGACCATGTGGGCTCTGTCCTCGGGGATGTTCCAAACCGCCGTGGAGATGATGCTGGGCAGGGTGCTCTAGGTGGCCCTGCTTGAGCAGGCAGGTTGGACTAGGCAATCCCCAAACATCCCTTCCAACCTCAGCCTTGCCCGTGATTCTGAAAGTGAATGGACATGGAAGCAGGGTGCATGGTTGTCCTCGCCTCCTCACCTCCCACCGCTTCCCTGGTTTTTAATACCATCAGCTGCCCCCGCCACTCAACGTCAGTTCCTGCCCATCACCCTTAATGGATGGCAATGCAGCCGGACGCTGTTGAATCGATCCTGAAATTAAAATGCACCCACTTCCATTCTTGCTCCATTGTCATCTTATCACAGGGAATAGCTGGAAGCACCGCAGATTACGGAATCCATCATCATTTAGCCTTTGTAGCTCGCAAATTCATAATTAACAACAACAACAACAAAAGATTCCCTTCGCCTTCTCATGTAATTTAATTAGTCGGCCATTAAAGGGAGCCTAAATGTCATCTAATCCCCCAGCAGAGGAAATAATTGTTTCCCATTCTTTTAGAAATTATCTTTAGCTTATTGTTAACTATCAAAATTCATTATTGGCTGTTGAGAAGCAGTCAGAAATGGTGTGAAAAGCTCTTGTGAAAGGACAGGGCAGAGTGGTGCAGGAGCTTGGGGGAGCAGAGGGGTGGCGGGGGCTGTAAAACATTCCTGGCCTTTTTTCCTCCCGTCCTTGTGCTGTTCTCTCTCCCAAGGGACTGACGCGCTGTCCCATCCCCATGGGGTGGCACGAGGTCCCCAGTATGTGCCCCAGCCCTGGTGGGTCCCAGACGACCTGTCCTCCAGTAGGTTCTGCTGTGGGGTGCTAGACGAGACATGCAAGGGCTTTGGGGCACAGGATTTAAGGGCTGTGTGACACAGGACAAAACTGTTCCCCCCACAGTAGACCTCTCCTAGAGGAGGGTCGCATCTCGCTATGGTACCCTCTGTTCCCTGAATGGAGGAATCCCCCACAACCATAACCTGCCTTTTCTCCCTCCAGCCTGTGGTCCCAACATGAGGGGGTTGCCTTGCTGACTGCATTACTGTTTTTGAGGAGAGGGACTCCTGCCTTCACCAGCCCGATTGCATTTCCTCCTCCAGGGCCTTGTATCTGCTGGACAGGGGTACCTGATATGGTGAGATGGGAGGTGTTTCTCCTGCCACCCGAAGCCTGGACTTTCATCCATACATTGCCGTGCTGTTTTCCTTCCCCTCGTGTTGGCTGGGGGATGGAACCAGTAGAAACTCCTTGCTGGGCACCTCCTGGTGCCTACCCCTGTGTTCCTCCCTCCCTGACTTACAGCTCCTCCTCAGCTTAGCTGCTCCCAGGTGGAGAGCGCAGCAGCGACTCTGAGGAGGCCCGGCCCAAACCGCAGCGCTCCGGGTGGATTCACAGCTCTAATTTACATGTGTTTCAGGCCACGTTATTTAGTGCACTGCAGTTAAAAATAAATCTTCCTCCTGTCTCTCCCGCTGAAGGGTGGCTTGTGTTTAGATGCATTCACTCACCACGAAGGATCTGGCGATGTGTCTTCCCTTCATCATCATCCTGCCAGCTCCTTGTTATCACCACTGACTTCAGACACAACATGGTTTCCATCACCAAGAGTGACAGCGACAGTCAAGGACAGCAGACGACGAGGACAGGCAGCAGCAGCTTGGCAGAGGAGGGTCTAGATGTTGCCTGCCCCAGCCCACGTGTTGCCATAAGCATGGGGAGATGCTCACCTCTCTGCCAGGGGAATAGGTGACCACCTCTCCTTCCTCCTTAAAAGCCAAGCAGTCTTTTGGTCCTCAAGAGTGCTGCCCCATCTCCTCTCACTGCAAGGAGAGGAGGGAGGACACTCTGAAAAAGAAAGAGGCTTTCTGCTTCTTCCCTCAAACAGGACTGATTTTCCAGCTCTCAATTACCTGGTTGCTGCAGATTTCTCCAGGTCAAGCGTTTGCCGAGATTGCTTGGGACAGCCTCACATGGCATTGCGGGAGTGCAAACACCTTGTGTCCACACCTCCGCGGCCCTCCGGAATCCCAGCCCTACAACAACCTCTTCTGGAGCAGGGCAGGAAGCCAGCAAGAGGTGAGAAGAACCGGTACAATGTGAGCCAAGGCAGCAAACAAAAACAGAGGGAAAAAGGGTGAAAAATCTTAAAAGAAAGAAGCCAACGCCGGACACATTCTGAATAGAAATGCAGCACGTACTCCTCGCAGTAGGTTAATTAACAACAGACATAATTACCTGCAGCAGAGGGGCACATACCTCCACTGCGTGTCCTCCCAAAGGCCAACTGTGGCCCAGCCCGAGGTTAAGGTCTCCCTGCCAGTTTTAGCCATATGGGCTGCAGCAAACAGCTTTTTGGCTGAAACCCTCTGAAAATATTAAAGCAGAACGCTCAGGTACAACTGCCTGTGACCCAGCACTACCCCTGCCAAGACAGCCTGGTTTTACTCCAAACAAGAAAACGGGATTCAGCAGCAGCAAAAATAATTATTTCCAGTGCGGTCATTATTATTGCCATGAATAAAAAATAGAGCTGCTCTTCTGAAGCTGAAGTGTGTGGTTTCCTTTGGATTATGTATGAGAGAGGGCCTTGATTTAATATTGCACAATAGAAAAGTAAAACAGAACAATAAATCCCATCAACACAGTTCTTGTAAAAAACTGTCTATTTCATTTTTGACCATATAAAAAACAATCAAGAGAAACTTGGCAAGGAATGTACAAGCTACATGTCGAATTTAAACTAATTTAAAAAATTTCAAGTGATCTGGGTAAGGGTTCAACAGTCTCTTGTACAGCCAAATTTTCTTCTTTTCTTCCTCAAAGGAGATGATGATAAAAAAAAAAAAAAAAAAAAAAGCAAGGAGGGCCAAGGAGGTGGGAACGTTACTGCCTGCAAAAAACACTCCTCGTTTAATCAAGCTGCTTCAACTTTTTCCCACTACCACAAAAGTGATAAGGGACTAGCATCAGTTAGAAGCAAGTTAATCCTGCTTCTGTAAAGCCAAGGTTTTGAGGGGATAAATCCACCCATCTTCTTGTCAGCTTCACTGGATCTCCCCCATATACAGTCTTTTGTCGCTGGAGGCAGAGAGGACTGCAGGAAAGAGGAAAAGAGAAACAAAAGAGAATTTTAGATCTCCAGTAATGACACAGTACTTGGATATAACTACTCATTCCACTTGCTAGAAGTTATCTATAAAGCTGACTTTGATTTGCTCCCCACAAAACACTTCAGGGAGTTACTACGTTGACACCTAATCACACACCGCACGTTCTGGCTGCTGTTCCCCTATCCCAAGCCAGGCATAAACACTTACCCACTGTAATGGCTAAGCATTAAAATGGTAAATAGAAGCCCATAAACATGCTGTTAAGGCACTCCAATATCCTGACGTGTTATTTGCTTTGCGAGGAGCGTTCAGATTGCAGGCTGGGCACTACCAGCAGGATGGGGTGCCGCTAGAGGGCACAGCATCTCCAGGAAAACCTCCTTGGACTGTTACTCTTCATCGTAAAAGAAGGGAAATGCGGTTTCTGAAAAGGCTGTTGGCGGCTCCAACACACAAGCGTCAAAGGGATGACAATCTCAACACAAGAGCTGCTCTTCAGACTGACAACTCTTTCATTGAAGTCCGTGAGAGATTTTGGAGGCGTTTTTTTGCATCAAGCTTACAGACAGGTCTGTTATCTCACCAAATTTTAGGTTGCTGTGTGCACTGTTCCATGCAGATGAGGATTTTGGAAAGAGTAGAGCAATTTGCAAAATTAAGTTTTCAATGTTAATAGAAATCAATTGCATAACTCATATGCAATGAGTTCTTTAATTTTTATTTTAAGGTGAATGATTGATTCAGAAAGAGGAGCTCAGCAGAATATAACTGCAAACAATTCGTTCCAAATCAAAAATGAGAGATTGCTCTGCTCCTTCAGCACAGCCTCTCATCTGAAAAGAGAGTGGCGAATAACCAAGGAACAAACCCATATTTCACTTCCTTGAATTCCAGATTGCTGCACAGACCGTCATCCTCAGCACTGCAGAGCTCCTGGCTTCATTTCAGGGTTGACTCGTGTCAAATTTTTGGCCAAAGTGGTGACCTGGCTGATGGTTCAGGTGTTGCCATAGAAACAGAGCATCCTACAAACCTGCCTGTGCTACAAACCACATTAAGAGACCAGTCTGAAGCCTGGATGCTGCTAGTGGGACTGAAAGTGGTTCTGAAAAGGTCATCATGAGCAGCTCCGCAGCCACTGCTACCTGGTGCCACGTATTCCACCCTGGAGCAGGACATCTCCAGAGTGAGGACAAAAGGACTGTATTCAAAGAGCTATGTTTGCTACTGAGAGCTTTTAGGATAACATAGATGCCCCGAGTTATATAACTGTCCTCACATGATCAACAACCGCAAGCTTTACTGTTCATTTCCAACCAAGGTACCCCAAATCCTCTCTCCATGGCTCTTGGGAAGTCTCCCCACAAGTTCTGGAAGCAGCAGCCAAGCAATAGCTGATGGTCCCCTGTAGCTCATGAACAGCCCAGGTCACCACAGCACCACAGCTACACTCTAGGTAGCTACACTCCAGGCGCAGGGTTAGTGTCACCCAGGTCCCCATGAGCTCCCTGAATCAGCCCAAGCACCCAAGACACACCTAGGAGTGGTTGAACGGATTCCCTTCCTCCCAAACCTCCCCCTGGTACCCAGGGCTCTGGGCCACTGGCAGATTTATTGTCTGGAGGAGTGAGCATTTATGCCAGGCCTTAAATCATTTCCCCATAGGCTCTAGCTGGGTAGGACTTACTAATGGGTTCCTCCGGGTGGAAAGCCAGCTCATTCACAGAGCCGGCATGGCCTGGCAGCTTGTACAGAATCCTCCTGGATGTGGTGTCCCACACATAGACAAACCTGTAAAAGAGTTATTTTGAGAGCGAGGCCCTTCAAAACGGAAAGCAGGTGCCTCCCAAACCCACAGCTTCTTTCTGCAACAGCTCACCATCCAGCCTGCAGCAACTGCAGCTGCGAGCGTGGGGAAAGGTTGATTAACATGCAGCAGTGCTGAATCCAGAAAAACAGAGATCAGAGCAGGTAAGGACTGACACGACCAAGTTCCGTGGTCACAGATGTCATGGCAGGACAGATCTATTTTATCCATCATTGCATGAAGACAAATTTGAAAACACGAGGCCACAGAGACCCTTGACGTAGCAGCAATAAGCAGGTAAAGGACAAAAGTAGCATCAAGAATTCAAAGGACTGTCCTCATCCTCACAAATACCTGCCCGGGAGCCCAGCAGTTGCTTTTAGCTCAGGCTGGCAAGCAAGCAGTTGAGGAGGAGACCTCATGATCCCACCTGCAATTCCTCACAGCCAAAACCCATTATATATATAGATTTCTTCCTGCTATGCCATTAAAGTCATGATTCACATCTTGGCATTTATTAGGGGTTGATCAAATTGCATCAAGCACTTTGATTAATGTCTTCCAGGTCTCTCTCCTCACCGTGGGCTCACCCAACTCCTGAGCCCTGCCAGTGTGTTTCACCTTGGCTGAAGGACAGCACAAAACCCACCTTTCTGCAGCTTGCATGGAGCCCAAGAACGCAGACTGCTTCCCCACAAAAATACAGTCTGCTGTGGGTGTTGACACTTGTCCATGCAGTGCAGTGACCTACTGCTCAGTTAACACCTAAACTCCAGGAGGAAACAAAGTGGTGCTTTAACCCCAGCTACAAGGAGCTACCTTTGGAGTGTTTTTTTGTAATAAATCTGAATGAAAAGAGCTCTGAGCTGCTTGTTACAAATCAGGGCAGACAACGCTGTACCCGACTCGTGTGACTTCCCTTCCAAACAGGATAGCTCACCACATAAATTGCCATTTGTTCTAAGGTTCACATCTCTTCATGTACTAATTAAAGAAGTGGCCGTGCCTGGGGAAAGCTGCCAATTCTGGATTACACTCACACCGCCTTCGCGTTTCGCTCTGTAGGTAGGTGACTGGCAGCTAGAACTGAATCTGTCAGCAGGCAGGAAAAAGTAAGTGGCAGTGCAATAATTGGTCAGGTTCACCATGAGGAGCAGCTCTGCTGTCCTCCAACTCAGGAGGTTATTTGAAGGGGACACTGCAAAAGGGCAGGGTGTAAGGGACAACCAGCTGCCAGCAAAACACATGTAAAAGCCACCTTCAACATTACAGGCCTCCAAAGCACACAACCTAAGTCTGAATGTTATTTAAAGCAGTGTTTCTTCAAGTATAGCTCTTTCACCTTAGTAAGCAAGAACTGTATCAAATCCTTTCTCTGCTGTTGTTTTGTCCCTTTGGTGCTGCAAAGCAGGAAAGCATTTAAAGTCATTCTTTCAACTATAATTACCTCCAAAGGGATCAAAAGCTAAATCATTACTTAGATAATTGACCCTCCAACTTAAGATATACACACACAAAATGTGCCACATAATCCAGAAGTGATTTGCACTGAAGAACTATTTTTTACTCAGAGTAAGGGAATATTTAATCTTGCTTTGCCTTCCCAAAATTAAAAGGTCAGAGACGGCAGCAGAAATATTTGTGGGCAGCTCTATCCAAGCCACTTTAGGACCAGGCTGTATGCACCTCACCATGCGCTTCACAAAGCTGCTGTCAGACTGCAGAGCTACAAAGCACCCACAGAAGTAACCTAGTGGCCCAATATTTCATGTCACACGTCACCACATCAGGCTGTTTGCTCTGGATCTGCCACGGCAACGGGACGTGAACAAATAACAGATATTCTGTCACTAGTGCAATGCTGATTATTACCCAGCCAGGTTGCAAAGCAGTCACTTCTCAGGCACTCAATGGGACAGCTGGCCTACTAGAGCGGGGCCGTACGAGTTAATATCTTCCCTACCCACTATCAGGAACTCATAAATTTGCTCATTACTACTGTTCCACGCCTTGGGCCCGGCTTGCAGGAATTTCTGTTTCAATGTCCCTGAGAGTGCATAGGAATTTGTCCCAGTAGGGCTGGTACCCTTCATTGTGACCTTCAGCGCCTGGCGCGGACCTTCCACAGGCTTCCTCTTGCTATGTGCTTTACTCCCCAATCGCCTCAGTTTATAGAATTTCCTCATTTAAAAGAGCCACGAATGCTAATGTGTCCAGATCTTTATTCCTTCACACTCATTAATAAAAATACAGATCAAGAAAACACCATTGGCTCTTCCTGATAGCCACCACACAGGAATTTAATTGTTACGTGTGGTCTTATCAGTGTAATTGCAGTATTATGCACTAGTTGAGCAGACTCTCTGCTTCCAGAAGGAACCTAGACAACCTCCCCAAGATCCCATCATCTGCTGCTGCTGCCAGATCCAGTGACTGAACATAAGCAATAATGCAAACCCCAAGTCAACCATCAATAAAAACAAGTTTTTTGTACCTGTGCAGTGTTCTCTCAGACACGAAGTCAATACGATCACGTCTTCTATGAGCATTGCAAATAATTGTCACAACAAACCATAAGGGTTATTGAGGTCTTCATAACTCTAATTGTAAATCTTCTTCACATTTGTTTCTGAAATAACCTAACTCTACTGCTTTCACGAGCCTAGACTAAAGAACACTTGCAAAATGCTTTGGGATTGGAAATAACAGAGAAACGCAGCTAGAACTCACCTGTCTGCTGATCCTCCTGCTATTTTGCTTCCATCTGGGGACCAAGAACATCTCAGAAGATTCTAAAATAAAAGAATGTGCACAGGTCTAATTCCAAAGGAAGATGGAGTTTTCCCTTCTACTCAAAATAACATCACCATGAGACTTCAAATATCTTGAGCACCATTTTAATGATCCCCATTTGAAAGATGAGATGGTAATTACAGATTTTATCACTGGAAACACTCAGTGCCTTGTTATTCTGCAAAGTAGATAGCTAATGTACAAAATATAATTAACTGTAAATTAAGTATCTGAACTGAGCAAAGAAATCCTGTTACTGCAGAATCCCACTTTGTGCATTAATCTTTCTTTAAGTCCTTATTAAAGCCTTTCTGGCTTATGCTTGAATTAAAAAAAAAATCTGTAAGCCCATTAAAGATGACAGCAGCATTTAAAAAAAGATATATATATATATATTTTTTTTTCTCCTGCCGTACGCTCACCTTTTCAAAATTATGCACGTTGCCCTGGAATATCTTTACACATCTCTCTTTAGGGGCAAATGGTCGCACATCCCAGATACGAACTGCAAGAGAGCCAAACTAACAGTAATTAGCTGAAGATCACAGAGTCACAGGTACGAGATGAATTTCTGGAAACATTATTTTTGTCGTGATCAGATTTAATCATGTTCTTTGTTCCTTGCACAACTAGGTTTCCCCAGGAGCAAAAGGAAACAGCAGCTCCCATTCCCTTTACAAAAAGCTTTGTTACAAAAGGTCAAATTCAAGAATTTAACATTATACTAGCCACTGTTCCTGCCAACAAGAAGGGGAAAAGAAAATGCAACTATTACACAAATGAGGCACCACCTCCCTATGTGAGCATTTGCATACACTCCATGACCACGTTTCTAATTAGACGAGCTTTGCTGCACACTCACCCTTGGAAGACAAGCCGTTTTGGAAACAGTGCTGTCATTCCCTGCTGAGGGGAAACAGCTGAACCACCCTGACAAAAGGCAAACCAAGATTACGCTCAACAGCCTGCACAAACAACTCGTGCTGCCGATCGTGCGACGATGTGTCCGCGTCGCCCTCTGCGAGACATGACAAGCCCTCCTGATACAGCTGCTCCCTCTCTGCAAAGGGAGCAACTGGCATAACGGCAAAAATTCCAGCTTTATCTCTGGAGCTGAACTCCCTGCAGTCTATTCCATATGTGGCCTTTTTTGTTCTTCTTCATGGAACAATTTGAGCTGTTCCTTCCACACGAAGCTACCCCATAGCTAATCTAAGAAAGCAGGGATGGAATGCTGCTCTTATAGGTGCACTTTCACAGATGTGGCACGTACCTGTGTTGTCCATGGCGTTAGAGAGCAGGTAGGAGCCTTCTGAGCTCAGACTGAGGCCTGTCACAGAGTCTGCGTGTCCTCTCATGGTGTAGGTGAGCTTGTTCTGGCGCAGGTCCCATACCTTTCAGACAGCAGATACCAAACTGTGGCTTAACAGAAAACAACGAAGGCCACAGGAACAACTGATTCCAAATTATTTCATGCAGAAACAGAAGAGTCATTTGATGGAACTGCCTTTTATTTCTGTGGGGTGGGATTTGAACAGCTAAACTATAAGGTTAGAGTTTGAGATGTGTGAACAATTTATCCTTGCCTAAATAAGACCTATGGAGCTATCCAGAGAATCTCAGTGGGGAACTGAACAAAACAGTGAGCTTGCTCTTAAACAAGGTCTTCGCATAATAATAAGAGCCAAAATTAACTGTAAGAAAGTAAATGGGTCACCTTTTGTGGTCAGCTTCATACATGACCCTACGTGCCTCTGGGATGGAGAGTAAGCCAAAAGAGCTAACAAACCACATCACTTCTGTGAGGGTGACATTCACCTCCACTGAGTGATAGAAGTGCTGGCATGTACGACCAGGAATGCCTCTCAGTCACAGGGCACTTGGAACAGCTCCTTAAAAGTTTACAGGGCCAGTATTAACAGGGAGGCTGGATGCACTGGAGCCACACAGCTATCTACATTTCTCCTTGGCCATTTCTGCATCTTGCTTGCTACAAAATGGGATAAATAGAAGGTGTTTAAAGTCAGAACAGATGCGTAAGGAAGCAATCATCATACCTTAATATCATTGTCAATGCCCCCTGATATGATTTGGTCACTGGTGTCATTGAAAGTCACAGCCAAGACCTGGTAAGTGTTCTGAAATGTTTGGACAGCAGCTTTTTTCCTGATATCCCACAACTGAAAAGACATAGCAATTTTAAACATTACGAACATTAAGAATTAAACATTCTTATGTTTTAGACATTTAAGAACAGATTTAGAGAAAGTTGTAGACATTTGGCAGTACCTCAGACTGTTCTACTGAAAATCACTTCTAGATCTCAAAAGTTATCTACAAAATCATAGACATATAGAACTTCTCTAAATCCAAAAGGATGGGGCAAGAAAGAGCTAGAATAAAAAATCTCAATAACTTTTGCCTTCCTCATGCTTTTTTATGCTTTATGTTTTCAGTGGAAAAAACAAATTTCCGTAGAACTTGTTTTATTGTGCATTAGACCTTGATTAATTACAACACACCACCAAACACACTGTTACACAGAAAAACAGCTCGTCTTTGAAGAGCCAAGAGTTTGTTCCAGCTGCTCCAATACAGTATCCTAACTGAATCTACTTAACCTATACCAAAGAATGACAGGAGGAAAAGAGGGTATCAAATGCTATTTCTAGAATTGAAGATGTCAGATAAAGAAATTATAAGACATGTAAGTGGGAGTAACAAAAATATCTTTTAAAGACCCAAGTGCTTTCACTCTACACAGTCTCCTTAGTCAATATACTGACCTTTACTGTCCCATCATCGCTGCCTGTGCAGACAAGCTGCGGTCCTCGTCTCGCCGGGTAACAGGAGTTAACGAACGACGTGTGGCCCTTCAGTCTTTTCACTCTCTCGCCCGTCTCGCTATCCCACACAGCCACGGTTTTATCTGTGGAGGCCGAGAAGAGCATGCTGTGGAGGAAAACAGCCATGAAGTTCTGCTTTTCATGCGCATTTCTCCCATTCTGCTTCTTTTATTTCTAAGAACTGAGATGAAAGCTTGATATTTTAAGCAGCAATATGCCTTTGAGAAAAATTATGCTCAATATGCACAAGGACAATTCTGGTATTTCAGCACAGCATGACTGAAAGTGGAACAATTACAGGGGAGCTACTGCCATCCAAACCCATTTCTAATCAGTATTTATTAGCCTTCCACCTCCTCAAACAGTATCTATGTGAACATAGGAGAAAAAGAAACCTCTGTAGCAATCTTGGTTTGAATGTAATGGAATAACTTTTCAAATTAAGAAATATCTTAAGAAATATCTTGCTTTCTTTCATTCCCCAACCAACCATCATTTCCCCCGTGTCCAAGTCTTTCACACGTCCCTCAAGATTGAAACCAGGGGAACTCGTGGGTCACAAATGACTCCGTATCTCTTGCCACAAGAGCAGCCACAGTCCTTTCCTGGGAAAGCCAAAGTGCAAGTGCTCCTCTTTAAGTACCATTAATGAAATGAGGGTTAATGAGACAGGGAGAACGAACAGCAGGAACTCTAAAGCAGCCAACACTTTTCCCTGGAAAATTAAATGCTGCCATGATCCACACAATAACACAGCATGGATGAAGCGCATGATAGATGTTGTCACTCTCCCAAACCACCTGGAGACTTTGCTCAGGAGGAGAAAAAGGAAGAGGAGCGAGGCAAAACAGCTTTGTGACACTTACCTGCCATCTGTGTTATAGTGCAGCTCCATAACCGCTCCGCTGTGTCCCTTCAGGGTGGCGTAATTATCACAGTCCCCATAGACGTTCCACAGCACTAGAGGAAATCAACACAGAAGCAGGTAAGGAAATGAGCAGTGTAAATGTGTGCTTGCTGTGGAGAGGCTGAGCCTCTGGGAATACATCAAAATGATCCATCTACAGCAGCCACCACCTCCTCAAACCCAGGTGACACAGCAAGGGGGACCCCGAAGGCCAAGGCTCGCTGTTTTGAGGTGATCTACGGCTTCAGATCAAGATGAATTTAACAATAAAAAAAAAATCCTGTTTCCGCTTCAGACACGAGATAAGCTGGTTGGTTTCATCACCTGGTGGTCCGACCAACCTTCTCTGCAACCCCTAAACCTTAAAAAAAAACCCAAAACCTGACAACTGATCCCTATCTGCAACAACCCGCACAAGAGCTGTGGGAATTAGGAACGGCAGCAAGCCAGACCCGTTACTGGCGCCTCGTGAGCCGGGCCCCCGGCAGCCCCCCGCGCCGCGGTACTCACGGATGAGCCTGTCGAAGCCGGCCGAGGCGAGCGTGTTGCCGTTGGGGTGGAACTTGCAGCAATAAACCTCCCCCTCGTGGCCCGAGAGCAGCATGATGGGCGCCTGCAGGGACGAGCATCGCGGCGGGCCCTGCGGGGACGACGTGTGAGGACGGACGGGGGGTCCTCACGACACCGCGACCCCCCCGCCCCCGCGCCGCCATTTCCCGCCCGTACCGCCTGCAGCAGGGCCCCCCCCGCGGCCGGCCCAGCGCCGCCGCCCGTCCCGGGAGCTCCGGGGCCGTCGTGGCGGGGCCGCTTGGGCGCCGCGGGCACGAGCGGCAGGTCCGGGCCGGGCGCGGCGCCCGGGGCGGCGCCGCCGGCAGCCACGGGGCCCGGAGCGGCGCCCGGCGCCTTCCGCTTGTGCTGCTCGATCATCGCCGCCGCGCGCGCCCCGCCCGCGCGCCCCCATTGGCCAGCGCCCTCGCGCTCTCCCACGCTGATTGGTGGAGGGCTCCGCGGTCGGCGCGCTCTGTAACCTCACTTCCGGCGGCGCGGGCTGTGGCGCCGGAGGAGGCGGGAAGGAGGCGGAGTGACAATAAAGCTGCACGTCATTGGCTAATCTGATGGCGCCTGCGATCAACGCGCGCGCCCATTGGTGCAGCCGCGCGTTGCCTCGAGGAGAAGGAGAAGCGGGAGGGAGCAAAATGGTGGCGGTGTGAGTGGGGAGTGAGTAACGGTCGAGGGGCGGGCCCCGAACCGCTTCTGCCTTTAAACTCCAGCTAAATATAAACATACGTGTTTGTGCTTATATGTCTGCGTGCTTGTTTGTTTTTCCAAGGCCTCTCGTGACGCGGGGGCTGCCCGCGACGTGGCGAGGCGCGATGGGGCCGGGCGGGCGGTGAGGACACAGTGCGGCCGGGCAGGATGGAGCCGCTGCCCGAGCTCTACGCCATCTTCCAGGGGGAGGTGAGCCAGGGTGGGGGGTCCTGGGCGAGCGGGGCGGTTAAGCGGGCGGTTGGGTCCCTGGGGCGTGGGTAACTGCCAGCTCTGTGGTTTATTTGTGTGTCGTTATTGCTTATAACACATATGTAGGTATATGCCTGTATTGCTTATAAGGCATATATGGGTATGTGCCTTATAAAAGCGTATATAAGTAGATATAAGTAAATGGTTTTGTAAACGTGTGTATATATATAGTTGACTGCATCTCCTGTCAAGTTACCAAGGGCGACTGTTACTTGCTATCCCCAGGCTCCAAAACTATAAGAAAATAGGAGGACTGTTTTGCTGTTGTATTTAAGTGCGTGTTTTAGATGGGAGTTTGAAAACAGCGTTCTTCCAAGCCGTTTTCCTTCAGGTATTGTATTGATTTTTCTCTGCAGGTTGCTACTGTCACAGAATATGGGGCGTTTATAAAAATCCCAGGCTGCAGGAAACAAGGTTAGTTTGGGTTTGTTGTGTGTTATCTTGTTTGGGCCCTGTGGTCTCCCCAGAATGGAAGATTTGCCACCTGTTAGAAAAATCTAGAAAACTTTTTATTTCTATTTTCTCTCTCTTCCAAAACTATGACCAGGACTTGTTCATAAGACTCACATGTCATCCTGCCGTGTGGACAAGCCCTCAGAGATGGTAGATGTTGGAGACAAAGTATGGGTCAAAGTTATTGGTAAAGAGGTAATGTCAATTCTTATTTCTTTAACACCGTGTAAATAAAGTATATTGCAAAAACAGTAAGCTAAGAATTGTTAGGTATGCAGAAGCAGAATGTTCTCATCACTTTGTCGGATATTGTATGTTCCATTTTACAAGCAGATGAGTTGGGTTCACCTTCAGATGAGACTTGGGAAACAGACCTTGCCACAATGCGATTCAGAAAACCTTTGAGCTTACAAGGAACAAACCTCTTTCCTTTTCCGATGTTCCTGTTTGCAGCTTATGCCCCATAGGTTAGTGGTGTGAGTGGTGACCAGATGAGTAGTTTGAGAGGATCCTAAGATGAGAGCCCATGTGAGCACAGGCTGTGAGACTGAACCATCCTTAGGACCATCTCTTTTTATTGTTTACAAGAAAAGATTGTTGACTGTGAATTTTAGCCAAGCAAAAATACTGTAGGTTTTTTGTTGTTGTGGTGGTGGTGTTGCTACGTACCTTTCTCTTTCAGATGAAGGATGACAAACTGAAACTGTCCCTCTCCATGAAGGTCGTTAACCAAGGGACGGGAAAAGACCTGGATCCAAACAATGTTTCCCTTGAGTAGGTAAATCTTTTGAGCAGAGTATAGCAGAGCAAACAGGTTGTTACTGCCTTTCATTCCTGGCCCTTCTACTGTAATAATCCTTCACTTTGAAGGGTGAGAGGTGCTCACTGCTGAGTCCTTCAGAGATGGGCTGGTTAGATGAAGGCATAACTTCTTGGTTATGTTGATTAAAGTCTAGCAGGGGCTAGTGGAGGGAGAGATGGAAGTTCCATCCCTTTTCAGCCTGGCAGGATCTTAGTTCTAGCATTTTTTTTTTTTTCACAGCCACGTGATTTGTGGTGGAAGGACTCTTCGTTCCAGCCACAGATTCATTTAACTTCCACATACAGTGAAATCAAATACTCTGCTTAACTTGTTCAGATCTGTCAGAACTTCCTTATGTGTGTGTCATGTGTGGATTTCCCACCGCTCTCCATGTGATATCTCTTGCAGGTCAAGTGAAAATTATTTGTTTTTATCCTGGGCAAGTAAGAGTGTTTATATATTTACCTGGGTAGTATAAATGTTAGTGTAAATGACATAATTGCACCTCCTTATCTTTGCCTGTTTTGTTTGGAGAGAACTTAGTGGATCTGAAGAGCCATATGACGTTTTAACGATGTTAACCTTATTTTAATGAGTAATTGATTAGTTCCATTCTTTGCCTTAGCCAACTAAGGGATTCTTTTAGAGCAAAACTTGGAAAAAAAAATAGACTTTGTCCATGTAAGTATATTGATTTAATGGTAAAGATTCCTCGAAAATTAAACTCTTCTTTTTCCAGTCAGGATGAGAGGAAGAAACGTACGTTCAGAGACTATACTAGTCAAAAGATCACTCTCGAAGCTGTCTTGAATACTGTGTGCAAGAAATGTGGTTGCAAAGGTATATTCATGTAGGGTTATTTTAATCTCTTGCTCGAACCCTTTGTGTCAGCTAGGTTGCAACTTGCAGATATGATTGTAGTAATGCCTGCCTTGTGATTGTCTCACACTGTAAATGTCTCTTATTAAAGGACAACTGCCTCTTGCATCGCTTCCTTTTTGTAAAGGGAAGACTCAAATTAATTTTTATTAATATTTGTTTCTTAAAAATGCATCCACTTGAACTTTCTCTAAGGAGCCGTTCTTTCAGCACAGTTCTTTCCTTCCTTTGTTTTGATGCATCTTACAGCTGAGCTCTTATTCTAGTTTTGTATTTTAAGAATTAAAGTTGGCTTTAACTATATCACTTAATTATGGGAAGAAAGGTCAATGGAAATTGCATTATTACATAGTTGTTAGGAACGCTGTTAGATAAGCTCACCTAGAGTTGAAAATGAGCATTTTTACCTGTTGAGACTTTTGTTTTGTCTAACATAGATATGGAAAGTTGGCTTAACTGATGCCTTTTCTAGAAACTTTCATTGACTAACGGCAAGTCGCTCAAGTGCAAATTAGAAAAGCTTTTTGCACATGGAATGTTTGCTGCACCTTGCTGTCTTAACATCATTCAATGATGCCTAAGTGCAGTTTCCACTAATAGTGTTAAGAGATCAACTTTGATGTCTCCAGAGTAGAACCAGATTGATCTGATTTCCTAAGTGTTTGTGGTTTTGCTCTCATTTACCAGATGTCTGTCACACCAATTGACTCCCTTTCCCATCTACTTTATTCTGTGCTGCTTAAGCCATTGCCCAGACATGTCTCTACTGATTTCCCTACTCAGACAAGTGTATCTTAGTTTTGCATGTTTAATCTTTCTGGAATGACCTGTGTTGCACTTGCTCTGCTGGCTTGTTTAATCTGGACCTGTAAAGCTGGTTGGAATGCTATGGGGGGAAAAAGTGCAATGTGGATTCTCATAGTGTGACTAGCGATCAAAAGTTCGTTGTCGGCACTTTATCTAAAATGTGGTTTTAAAAAAAATGGTCTAGGTTACCACTTTGAATGCTCTTTTGCAGGTCATTTTGCCAAGGAGTGTTTCATGCAGCCTGGAGGTACCAAATATAGCCTGATTCCAGAAGAGGAGGAAGAAGGGGCAGAAACAGCAGGACTTGAAAAAAATAAAAAGATGAGCCTGACTGATGATTCTTCAAAAAAAAGGAAAAAGGTACAAGAGGCCCTTCTGGTAGAAAAGTGGGTCAGACATGTTGTTCAGTAGAATTAACATTTGTGGGGTTTTTGTCCTTTAACCGATCTCTAGGGTAGTTTTGTACCATAAGATATAGACATGTCAGGTCCTGCAGCGAGACATAGGGACGTTTTTTCTTGGACTTTGTGAGGCCCTACTGAAGTTTTTCTGAATTTCTGTGACTCTTGCCAGTAGTTATGTATCCTCCTTTCATTTCTGCTCTCCATTCACACTGCCTGGTATCCAGTTCCATCCTGAGAGGTGTTCTCTGCTTCTCGTCTGTCTTGGACCTGTGTGACAGCGTATAAGTAATACTCTGCAGATGACATATATATGGTTTTTTTTTTTTTTTTTTTTTTTTTTTTTTTAAATTTTGGCTTCATAAGCAGGCAGAGTTATCTCTCAGATCCTGGGCTAAATGTGGCTCTAGCCTTTCCTGACTTGTCTGGTAAAGATTTGCTTTGCTTTACGGTGGAAGTATATGAAGTGGAATTTAAGTGCTATATGATGGAACTATTGTTTAAACAACAGTTTAAATGACAGTGGGAAGCATTATATTGAGGTGCACAAATACTGTTTCTCTTATCACTGTTTCTCTGCGTAGGCTAGGGATTCCCTGTGGAGTCTTGCCCTGCCGAGACTACAGGATATGTGGGTCACTCTCCTCAATTTGTTACTGCCTTTTTTTTGGGGGGTGGGTTAGTGGATTAACAGCCTTTTTTAAAAATGTTGCTTGTCCTTTGATCTCTTCCTTGAGAAGGGAGGATCAAAGGTTTTCAGATGTTTTCCAGTGCTGGAAAACAAAACTTTGAGAGTTTTAGAGACAGGATGTGGGATCCTCAAAATGAATAGCTTCCTTGTTGTGTCGGGTGCCTGCTGTGATCTTGTCTGGGAGCCACCAAGTGCTTCCCTGCTTTCCTGAAGCCCTGAGGGCACTTGCACAAAATCGAAATAGCTCAGTAACAGTTGCTTTGCTGGCCAGGTCCTGTCCAGTGTCTTTAGTGCAGAAGTAGATCTTGCAATTTTTGAATTAATATATAAGAGTTTTCTATCTGTGAAGTATCCATTTAATGATGTAGCAGTATTAACTTTCCCAACTCAGTTAGCAGTGTTTTCTGTACTTGATCTCTTTCCCTGGGGATTCCTCTCCTTATGGAGATACTCTCGGCTCCTCGCCCCCTGTATTCTCTGTTCAGTTTTCCTGTGGTCACCCTTACTAGCCGTGTGTGCACGTAAGTGCTATATAGCTGGCAGTGTGATTCCAAAAACTACAGCATTAGATTTCCTAGTTTATTTCTCTTACCATGACTTAAGACTCTCGGAACAAAACGCGATCCTTCTAACGTTTTTTTAAGTGGTCCTTACTAACTACAGACCCACAGATGGGTTTTGACCATCTGAATTGTGACTGAGATAGAACTGAGGAACTCGTTTTTCCCTTTCTTCTTTCTTCCACTCTGCAGCATCTACTAAAGACAGCTGAAGACTTCAGCTCTTTGTGCTGCCTTAATGATCTGGCGTGACCTTGGGCACAAGTTTTCCTGGTTACAGATCACCTTGATATTAGGCACGTGAGAGCACTGTCCTGTCTCCTGTTGACCCTGAGAAAATAAATAACTTGGAGAAGCTCAGATACTGCTGTGACAGCACTAATGTGGAAGTACCAGCGAGCAGCTGAGGGGTCTCTGAGAGCTGCTCACGCTTATTACTACATCTCTTTCACTTTTATTCTCTTCGGGTCACGGGGTGAAGGAACTCCTATGGGAACACTTGCAGTGTGCCTATACTGAGGCTGTGTAGGAGGGAGACCTGCTGAGAGAAAATAAACCCTACTGAATCTTCCCCTCATCTGCCTTTCAAGAAAAGGTCTGCTGTTCTCGATGCCAGCAGTAACCCCCTTGCACTTGCACCCTACACAGCTGCCCTATCTCCTGCTCTGGTGCATTGATTAATTAATCCCCAGTGTAGTTTGGAAAGGTCGGTGGAGTTGCATGATAAATGTGACCTGTGATTGCTTTTCTGTGGAGTTTGCTGCTGTTTCTCATGTCATGTGAAAGGACTCAAGGAAGTCTTGCTGCAGATGTTGTCTCCTCACTTAAAACCACACCTTAAATTGGTGTTTGTTCAATGACCTGTAGTTCGTGAAGCCTTAAGCCGTCCTAGCTCCTAGCTGACTCTTTGTTTGACTAATTCTCAAATGGTATTAACTTAAGGCATAGCACAACTGTGTTCACTCCCTTCACACGTATCCTGTTCTCTTATTGTCCTCTCCTATGCTTTTCTAAATGTTGCTCAATTTACATAAATGCCCATATGCTGAATTCTTCTCATGAGATTAATTCCAGCTAGTTCTTAAGCAAGGGATTGAATAATATCATGGGATTTACATAATAAATCTTGTTTGAAATTAGGCTGACGTTATTCTTTATTTTAAGAATAAAGACCTAGCAGTCATATTGCTACTTCTTTTGGAGATGTAGAAATGCTGGAAATGCATTTTAATTTTCTACAAGTGTGGACATCAATTTTCAGGAGGCCATAACTCCGCAGAGGGTTTGGGAAAATAATATTTAGACTTCTTGGATAGTTCTGGATGCTCCTCTCTTATCTCAGGATCAAATACTTTGAGAAGGAATGAACTGTTGTAGCATTCTTGAAACATAGCCCCAAGGAACTCATCTTACGAAGAGCAGGAAGCAGGACCTGGGGCACTGCTGGGGTTGACTCCCAGGACCAGTCGTTTCGGAATAGCCACAATAATTGGGAAGGCATCACTTCAGGCTCTAGGTCAGTCTGTTCTTCTGTTTGCTAATCCCCAACACAAGTCTTACATTTTCTAAAACTGTAACTGAGTTGTCTTGAAATCTCTAATACATAATTTCTGCATGAATTGGACAAGATGTATAAAGACCCGTAACATCCAAACCTCTGTACTCGTTGGCTCTCTCTGAACATCTTTGTATTTGGAGTCTGCATGGAAAAAAATATGATCTTTATACAACCATAGTGTTTGCAGTGCGCGGCCTGAGCTCCATCCATCAGCAGGGCTCAATTGTGGAGGGCACCTTGCAGGGTGTGGCAGGGCTCTACAGAGGGCAGGAATTGGGCTTTTTACCTTGGCACTGCTGTCTCTGATGCATAACCCCGAGCAACACTCCCGTCTTGTGCAATGCTGCTACGCCCTGGGATCAGCTCAGCGAGGTTAGCAAGGCGCAGTAAGGCTGGCAGTGCTTCTCCTTCAGTACAGGATGCTGGGCTTGAAAGAAACTGGCAGTCTTAATAGAAAAATATTTGTATGGAGTAATTTCAGAGGAACACTGTCACTAAATACAGAAAATGTCAAACTCTTCTGTGAACTGCTTTACTCCCTGCAGCATTTGTGGTCTCTGTTCTCCATGTCCAGCATTGCCTGGTTGTGTGTATTTTTGCATTAACAGTCTGGAAGTGCTTGTTCTGTGTTGGTCTCAAGGATTTGACTGGTAAAATAGGACTGTCCTAAAAAAGAGACTGTGATTTTTAGCCAGTTCAAAATCCATATGTGTACTTCTATTTCCCCTGTCATCCTAAAGGGACTGATGTGACATCCTGTCTTGTCTTCAGCCTTCACACACTGAGAAGTTTTCCCAAGCTCTGGAATGAAACTCTCTTACAAGATCTTGTCAAACTTTCTCACCATGTGCACAGGAAAAGCTTGAGAAAATTCTCTTTGCTGCATCTTTTTCTCTAAAAGATTTAACTCTTTACCATCAGCATTTTCTAAAGGCTCTTGTGGCTTGGTTCTACTGTTGATGTGTGGATACAGGATTTAGTGATGACTTATTGTTGTCTCACAGGAAAATCTAGACTTTGGCAAATCTCAAAAGACTGAAATTATCAGGATTGACAATACAAAAACTAATACGTGATGAAGATCTGCTGGGTGTATAGCAAACTGAATTCTTGCCTTCTCCCATCAAGTCTTGGAGGGTGTTTATTCAATGTGCAGCTCTGTCTTGTAGTTCATCTTTGCTTTTCCTCCTCCCCCAAATAGTTGCTCTGTTCCCCATTAAATAGGTTACTCGGTGCCTTTCTTCTGTGCCTCTAATTGCTGGCCTGTGTCTGGTGCAGTGACACGCAATCCATCCTACATTGATGTCTTTAGCTGAGCCTCTCGTGTCCTCGCTACTGCAGGAGAATATATCTTTTTAAATGAAACTCTCCCCACTCAGCTTGTCTTCCTGCAAGCTGGTGTATTAATCTTCATATAGAAACTGCACTTGTCCTGGGAGTGGCAGAACCTAACGGAAGAAAAATCTCATGGGAAAGAGCTAGGAGAGTCCAGAGATCTCCTTGTGGATATCTGTGCCCTTGCTGTAGCTTTGCTCACTTTCACCCAGCTCATTCTCGCTTAGCTCGAGCATCTTGCAAAGCAGTGGCTGAATTGCTGTTCCCTTGTGCTCTGCTCTTATCCATGCAAAGATAATTCTACCCTTTGGCATTGAAATGCTCCTTTTTGGAGAGCAATCCTGGGAGAATTTGCCTTGCAGGGACAGCTTAAGGGAGGTATTGGAGGGCTATTGGCAACTCGGTGAAACACCCTGTGCCCTCCCTATTAGTGCTCGCCTAAATTAGAGCATGGCCTTTAACGTCTCCCCTGCTTTACTGAGGTCTTTGGGCTAAAAGCATTTTCAGGCCTACAGCAAGCAAGGCAGAATTGAGGTATAAAGTGGGTTGTTGCAGAGGATTTTTCCCTATTTGCCTTGGTTTTCTTACTGTCTTCAGTAGCTACCTCTGGATTTCCTTGCTTACAGAGAAGAGCCAGCTTCTTAGCTTGCAGTCCAGTGCATGAATATGCATATGCTGCCGTTTTTTTCCTGCTTCTTTGTGCAAGATATGGTTTCCTTTATGTGGATGCTTTCCAGACAGTTATCAGGGTGGTGGTTGTCTCTTAACCCAGGTAAAAAGGGTGGGTATGGAGGGAGCCTCGGGCAGCACCTGCAGCCTTTCGAGGGAGGCCAGGTTGACTCGGCGACTCAAAACTGTCACATCTTGCTGCTCCCATGCACAGCTCCATGTTGGAACAGGGGAAAAATACTTTACTGAAAGGACTTGTTCTCATTTTATACAGGCATTTCTAGTACATCTCCTGCTCTTGTTGCCCTTGTGCAGTCAAATATTTGTTTCCTCCTGTGAGTTCTTCTAGGTTGGCTGCTGGTTGAGGAAAGAGGCCTCACTGAGCGCTCATTTTCTCTGAAGTTTCCTCACTTCAGATCCTTTCAGCAAACTCATCACTGTCCCCGAATGGCGAGTTGACCCCTCTGGAGCTGGTGAACACGGGAAGCAGTGCCTGGCTCTGCTGAGGTCCCAGCTCCGGGTTTGTACTCTGCTCTCAACATGTTGTCACAACTCTCCATTAATTCCTCAACTCGCTTGTATTTTTTTCAGGCCTGGCTACCTACAGAGGAGAACAGGATGCTGTTTTGCAGCAAGTTTTGGAAAGATTCAGCTCTATTTTATAAGTGCGTCAGATCCTGAGCAGCTAACTGATGTACTCAGCAGGAATGCGTAGCTTGCTTGAAGTGAAAATGCCAGTATATGATTTAATCAAAGCAGCAAGATTTGCTTGCTAGGTTACATTCCTTGCTGGCTGTGTGCGCCTCTATCATGGGCAATTGAGCTGGTTTGGTTTGTCCTACTGGCCTATCTCCGCTTTGCTGCTTTCTTATGTCTTCTTTATGAATCTCCCTTGAATTATAATGAAAATTCACAATAATCCCCTTTCACAGGGAGGTCTCTTATTAATGTTCATGTTATGGAAGAAAACAGTGGCACCTTCGTAGAGGTGAATGTTGCTGGGCTTGAGCAGAATGCCTGAATCTTTACTGGTGTTAAAAATCTTTACAAATTGCAAAAAAACTTTTAATATTTGTAGGCGTACTCATCTGAACCCTGTTTTTGCTTTCTTTCTAGTATCTTGTGGGTTTTGGCAAACAGCATCCCGTTTATTTCAGGAAGATCTCTTTATTCCTAAGTATCTTCCTCGAAGACCTTCCCCAAAACCTGTCTTGTGCTGAGAGTCGCTTAACGTAATCACGATGTGGTTATTTGGGGAGCTAGAAAGGGGACTTGAACAGGCATCACGTTCAGGTTTGCTCATTATCCGCAAAAGGGCCAAGAGCTGGGGCCTTTGGATCTGCTTGTTTTCCCCTTTGAATTGTCAGTCCTAGAGATGGATGTTCATCCCTGCACATCCATGCAATGGAGCGCTGCCAGTGCGGGCAAATTGCATCCTCTCCCGCAGTAGCACTGTCTAATTAAATAATACAAATCGCCATGCTGCGTCACTTTGGATTTGGGATCATCTGCCTGACACAGTTTCAGGGGACGACACGCTGCAGTGCTGGTTTTAGGGTAATCCGAGCTTTAGTTAGGCATCATGCAGTAACTGCGGCTAAGAATTTGAGGGTTTAGATCCTTTTCAAAGATCTTTGCAGTGTTTATCCTGACATGAGCTGTTCTTATTCGGGCTGTAAATGTCAGGTCCCTCTCGAACTCCTTAGCTTTTGCCTCAGGGCTTTGCAGGAGTAAAGCACAAAGAGCTCATTTATGCCCACAGCCTCTGCCAGTGCCTAAGTGGTGGGATGCTGGGAGAGCAGGAGGATTTTTGATTTACTTGGAGGCTGTGCAAAGAGAGCATGGATATTGCTTGGGAAAGGGCACTTTTCTCCATGCCCTCCTCTAGAGACAGCTGAGAGAAGCTTTGGATTTGAAGAAACAGGTTTTGACCCGTGTGGTGGGAGGGCTGGTGTTGGATGCTGCTCCCTTGCAGCTGTGCTGGGAGCTCTGCTCTGTGACGGTTTAGGCTGACAGCCTGTTTTCCTGGTGGCATTTCTGGGAAATTTGGCTGGGCTTGGGCTTTCCTGCAGGGAGAAGGGTGCAGTGTCAGTAGGGCCACATTACATTAGCGTTAATTTCCTCAGATTCTGCTTGGAGTTGGAAAAGAGTGATCCTGGCTTCCAACCATCTCTTTTAAAACACATTCTGTTGTCAAAAGGCCTCATTCTGCCAACATTATTAAAAAGAGCATCATTAAATAGCTAAGAAAGCCCTGATTCTGGAAGGATTACAGGGGCTGTCTTATGCTGAAGTGAGTAACAGTTTTGAGGCTTGGACTGACGTTTTGTCAACAACTCTGGTGGCTCTTACATTGTCCCTCATGCTGTTATGGTCTAACACGGCTACTTAAGTCCCAAGCAGCTGGGACAGGAGCTGTGTGGGTCATCTTTGTCGGAGGCTTTGGAGGCACCTCTTAAAGTGTCTTGCTGCCTTGGTCAGCATAAGTGACAGTTTTCCAATGTGTGAGGCTCTATCTGTTATTTTTTCCCATAGGAGAAAAAGAAGAAAAAGAAACATAAGAGTAAACAGTCTTCCGAGTCCGATTCAGACAGCTCCGACTCGGACAGCGATGAGGCTCAGCCAGCCAGCAAGAAGGCCAAACATTCGGGGAAAAGCAGCAAGGCTCAGAAGAAGAAGAAGAAAAAGAAGCATAAGAAGAAGCACAAGGAGTGAGCGAGCAGATGCACAGGGAACTGACATAGCAAATTCCTGGAAAATACTGCTGGGAGAGCAGGACTGAATCACTTCCTTGCCCCAAGGGCAAGGTGTTTCCTTCTGAAACTAATGCTCAACCTGTGATGTTTGAGACTTTGATACTCGTTTTCACCATCACCTTTAGATGTGGGCTGCTGTTTTCTCCCACTGAGTCCAGTGGGCATGCCTAGAAAAAACAGGCTAATTCCCCCTGTTCAATAGCACCTCTCCCCTCCTGTAGCCCCCAGTTTTGCTGGCAAGACCCTGGTGCTGCGCGCGGCTGCTTAGGACAACAGCAGCCCGGTAAGGAGCCTGCATGCCACCCATCCCCGGCTCTGCTTGCCTGTAAAAGGTGGAGCCCTGCAGCCCGTCCGTGCTTTTCCCTACCAATCCGTGCAGAGAGCTGCAGGGGGAGGTGCTGCCAGACCCCCAGTGGTTTGTTGGATCAGTGTAAGAATGCAGGGCCTGAACCACAGCCCAGTGCCCTCATCTCAAACAGCTCCCGGAAAGGACAGCTGATCTCCCTGCTGTTGCCTGTTTCCTTTCCCAGCATAAAGCAGGATTATAACCACCTCCACGCTGGAGGGGCTTCATTCATGGTAACGGTGTGGAGCTGTATGGTATAAAAACACTCCCTCCATTTCATTCATTTTCTCAGCAAACAGCCAGAGTGGGAAACTCAGAAGTAGCGTGGCGAGCGGAGATATTTTAAGTAAACATGGTGTAGTGTGTTCGCGGGCTTTGTAAGTGATGGAAAATAAATTTATCAAATCCCTGTTGAACTTTGTACTACATTTTTTTTCTTCCCTCTGTGTGCTCTGCACTTCGTCTTGGCCAGGAAAACAAAGGCAAACCTGCAGGAGCAGGGAGGTGACCGGCGCTGGAGCCTTTGGAGTCTGCTGAGGACAGGGAGGAGGAAACATGTGAGTCGAAGCCATGGTGGCTTTGCTGGAGCCTCTGGAGCTGGGGAGGTGACCCTGAGAGAAGCCTCACGGAGCAGAAGACAAAGCTCGGAGTGTGTTTTGGCAACAAGATGAGGTAGTGACTGAAATAAAAATCTTCATTAGATTCAAAGGTCTCCGGAGAGGGAATCGTAAAGGGTCAAGGAGCCCTGGGCTGTGGTTCCTATCTCAGCTAGTCCCTGTAGAGCCTGGTGACCACAAGGGAAGGTGAAGGGAGCGATTCCTGTTCTAGGAGGGGATGTTTCAAAGGGACGGGCTGTGTCATGGGCATTGTCTGCTTGTGCTGCTCGGAAGGGAAGCAAGCGTAGACCTGTCTGCACGCTGCTCGCAGCTGCGGCCCTTCTCACCACCGAGACAGCCTTGGCTGTCCTGTAGAAACAGCAGGTTGGCCCATGGCCCTGTGCACAGTAAAACCAGGTGCTTCCGAGGAGCTGATCCTAGCAAGATTGAGCTGATCCTGGGCTGAGCAGGACTCACCGGAGCCCAGGACTGACCTCAACTCCTTCTCCAGGGCAGAATCTCCCTTCGGACAGGCTCCTTCCCCAAACCTGGGTGCTGTGTGCTCCTGACCTTGGCTTCTTGGCTGTCCAGCATCAATGTCAGATGCTGCTTTGGCACAGTGGGCAGCTTGGGCTTTGCAGTGGAAAGTTTGCTTTTGCTGGAATGGTGTGTGCTCATGTCTGGAATGATTTATAGCAGAGCTGCCACTGTAGTAAAAAAAAGTTGAGCGGTGTGTCGCTCTGCCATTGCTGTGGCCATGTCCTGCCGAGGCTGGCAGGGGGACGAGCAGCAACTCCCAATGCAGCCACGGTGCCCAAAGTGTCATTTCACTCCTGTGATTTGGGCAGGGAGGGGGCCTGGAAACCCCCCCAGAGACCCTCCCTGCTGTCCTGGTGTGGGCACACAGGTGGCTTCAGCACCTGCCCCTGCCCCAAGGGCTGCTGCCGCCCTTTCCCACCCCACCTGGCTGGTGAGCCCCTGTCTGGATGGGACAGCCTCGCAGGGGGACCAGCCTTTCTGCTCCCTCAGCAGCAGTGAGGCAAAGGAGAAGCTCCGCAGTTAATCCGGCCTTTCCCTCTGCTCCTTAAGAAGCTCCTGGCCTTTCCTCTATGCTTTTTTCCCCCTAGCGCTGTTGGATGCCTCGGAGACCTGCTCAGACCTGTTGGCCTTCACTGGAGAAGCAGCTGCTGCACTTCTCGCTGTTAAAGCCCTGAGGCTGCTCTGCACAGGTCCTGGGTGCCAGTGGTCTCCTTGGTGCAGGGGGTGACCAGGAGTTTCCCCCTTTCTCCCAAGGCCTTGGCTGGGACAGGACCCCTCCACCCTGCTGCATGTTGCCAAGTCCTCCCAAGCAAATCACTCGCAGAGCTGTAACAACATTGGCTTTATTATCTTTCCACGTAGGTTCTTCCTTTATTTAAAAAAAGAAACAAAACCAAACCACCCCTCAACCCCAACCACCCCCCGAGGCAAGAGGCCTCGGGGCAGCTCGGGGATGGGGCAGCTCCGGAGGATGCTCCGACGGGCGCTCCCACCGCGGCGGGGACAGAGGCAACCTGGCGAGTTCAGCACCGGTGCGGGGCTGGCAGGGCCCCTACGAGGCCTTCTCATAGGTGCGGGTGGACACCACGCTGCCCATGGTGAGCGTCTGGGGGCAGAAAGCAAAGCCAGGGGTTGGGGATGTGGAAGCAGGGGGTCAGCCCCGTTAGCCCAGCAGCTCTGCCAGGCGTTGCCAGGGCACTCACCAGGATTAACTTGCCGTCCTTGAGCTCCCGCACTAGCGACGTCTCCTTTCCCTCCCACTTCTGCACATGGACGAGTTTGCCACCTTCCAGCTTGACCACGGACTGCGAGGGGAGAGCGGACACGTCCTATCACACCCAGTTCGGCAGCCGGAGCGGCGACGTGGAAAGTGCTCCAGGATCCCAGTTCCTCTGGCTCTGCCAGCCGGATCCCGCTCTGGCCACCAGCTGGACCGTGGCCAAGAACCACCTGTGCCCTGGCCCAAATAACCCGGCCATGGCGACCCTGCCCTCCCCGGGCCACAGCGGCCAGTGCTGCTCTGGAGGTGCTTTGGAGCGGGGACAGAGCGGCCGCATGTCCCGCTGCTTGCACGGCCCTGCTCTTGCTGCATTCTCCGGGTGGTTGCTGTGACACTCGGCTCGGGAGCCTCCCGCGCTGGGCAAGGACAGGCTGGTGGTCACCTGAGCAGCTCTAGAGGCCACGCTCGCCTGACCCTCTGGTGCCCGGCCCGTTGTTCGCCCCGGTGGTCCGCTATGTACCCAGGTCCCCTTGTGCCAAGGGGCTTCCCACAGCAGGGCTCTCCCTGCACCCCCGGGGCTCAGGTGTCTCCATGGGCTGGGTCCCCCTCCAGCTCAGCTCTCCTCCCCCTGCCCAACACGCACCTGCACTTTGGGTCTCCCCAAGGCTCATTCCCCCATCTCAGACTTCCCCAGGGTGCAGGTCTCCCCAGCACCCAGGTCTCTCCACACACTGGGTGGGCCCTTGGCGTAGGGCCCTGCAAGGCTTGGTGTCCCCCCCCTTGGTGCTCAGACACCCCAAAATTTCAATCTTCCCAAGGCTCATCTCCAACCCTGGCTCAAATGACTCCACAGTGCAGCTCCCCCCTAACTTGGGTCTCCCCACAGCTTGGGTGCCCCCAGGCCTTGGTATCCCCATGGCTGGAGACCCTCTGTGACTTGGGTACCCCACTGCACAGGTCTCCCAAGGGTCATAAACCCCCCAAATTGGGGTCTTCCTAAGAATTCCTCCCCCTGCCTTCAACAGCCCCAGTGGGCCCCAAAACTGGGCTGCCTCATGGCCTCAGTGCCTCCTGCCTCAGGTCTCCAGCCTGGATGTCCCCAAGGTAAAGATGGGGACATAGATGCCCCCAGACCCCTCTGCCCCCCTCCTCCACAGTGCCCCAGTGCCCACTGCCCTTTGTCTCCTTTGCCCTCGCTGGCTGGCAGCCAAGGGGCACTCGAAGGACACGTCCCCAGCCCGCATGGAGCCACCCTTCCCGCGTCCCACAGGATGCCAAGGTGCTTTCCACATAGTTTCCAGCTCAAGTGGTGTCACGAGACGGGGCAGGCAGTCCCCGGCACCGGCCGGAGCCGTGCATGGAAATAGCTCCCTGCGGAGCTGGGGGAGCCGCCGCGGGACGAGGACAAGGACAGGCTGCCACGTGCGCCCACCCAGCGCTGCTGCTCCCCTGCGCTCCTCACCCGCTCCGTGGGAACGATGCCCTGCGGCCGCCGGAGCTGCTCCTATCCAGGCTCCCTTGGGCTCTGGCACTGTGGGGACACTGCCCTGTCCCTCCTGCCTCAATCCCAGGGGATCCCTGGGCTTTTCCCTGGACAACAAGGCCACGAGGAGACCTGCTTGGCTGGGTCCTGCTGCAATATGACAGCCCTGGGCTGGGGGGCACGGGCAGACAGACAGGGACAGCAGCTCCTGTGCCCAGAGCCGATTTAATGGAGCGTGGGCGCCTGCGGGCACCCAGGGCCAGGAGGGGAAAGTTCTTGGCAAAAACAGCTTTGCTAGAGGAAAAATAAAAATAAATGGCCAGGGGCAAGAGGATCATTCCTGGAAGGGGAAAGAGGCCAAAAACAAGGCGGTTTATGTCTTCTCCTGACCTCTTCCCCCTCGCAAATGCCAATTTCCCTGCCCCTCTCTCCGCAGGGATGCCCTGCAAGCTATAAAGTGGGGCAAAATTCATCTTTCACCCGGCCACATCCTCTCCTTCTCTTGAGCAAGCCCTAGGTCCAGCCCGGGGTGCTTGGGCTGTTCTGCTCTTGCACAGTTGGGCTCTTGCACAAGCTTCCCAGCAGCTCTGTGCCCAGGGTGGCCCCACTTCCCCGTCCGGGAGCTCCCGCCAGGCTCTTGCAGCAACTCCAATGCCTCAGTGCAGCCTTTTTTTTTTGTGAAATCTGGCTGCAAATTAAGGGGAGGAAGGGCAGGTGCCAGGAGCTGCTAGGGCAGAACACCCAGCCCTGCGGACAGGGAGATCTTTAACAGTTTCATAGAAAGAGGAATAGAGAGGAGATGGAGCAAGAGCCCAGGATCCAAGGGTTGGACCAGTGCGGGGATGCAGCCTGCACCGGAGGGAGCTTGGTGGCAGGTAGGTGCTCTGAAGAATGCTCAGGAACGCTCTGAGCTCCGCTCCTTGGCCTCTCGCGCGCTCCCGGCGCCCGCCGCCGCCCACCTTGACGTGCCGGTCGTCGGCAGTGGTCTCGTCAAACTCCTCGCCCAGCTTGAAGCTGATCTCCGTGTTCTTGAAGGTGCTCTGGGTCTTCACGGTGACCTTGTCGCCGCTCACCTCGATGATGGTGGTGGGCTTGGTGAGACCGGCCACCTGCCTCGTGGCGAAGCCCACGCCTGGAGGGGGGGGACCATGAGGCCACCACAGGTCCCCCCACCCTACCTGCTCAGGGGCAGCCCCCTCCCCACGTCACCCCGGCCACCGCCCATCTCCTGCACCCAAAATTGCCCTTCCCAGCCCCAAATTGAGGGCTGGGCGGAACCCAGGGCCGGGAACTGCTGCCTTCCCAGTGCTGCGGCTGGTGCCAGGGACCCGCCTGGATGATGCGGGCGAGGAGGAGAGGAGGAGGGAGGAAGGATGGAGCAGCAGCTCTGCAGTCCTCTGCCTTCACCAATCACCACGGGCCAAAATGGGAGGACGGGAAAAACGTGTCCCTATGCAGCAGCTTTTGGGAACGCCGGGACCCCCCCCCCCGCCATTCCGCAGCCTCCGCCCCGCTGCGGAGCCGCATTTTTCCTCCCCATCCCTTTTCCTTAAGCTCATTCAAAAGGGAGTTCCCCCCCCCCCTTCCTTCCTCCAGCTCCAGGAGCCGTAGCGATAATCGGGTTGGGGGCGGTGGGATATAAAGGAGGAAAATAGAAATAATAAGAAAAATTAATGAAATAGTAAAGCCACGTGCGCCCGTCGGGCTTAAGGGCGCCCGCCCCCGGTCCTCCCCCCTCCAGCCGCGCTCACCCAGCGCCTTCATGTACTCGTCGAAATTGGAGGAGTCGAGCAGCTTCCAGGTGCCCGCAAAGGCGTCGGCCATGGTGGGATTGGGAGCGGAGCAGGATCCGGAGCGAAGCCGCCGCGCGCACCAGCCGCGGGGCCGCGCCCGCCCCGGCGCCTCCTTAAATAGCGGCCGCGTCACGTGAGCGCGGCCCGCGGCCGCCCCCCGCGCGCGGCGGGGGACACGGGGGGGGACACGCGTGTCTGTGGGGCAGGGACACGGGGACGGCGCCGTCGCGACCGGGATAGCGGGTGTGTGCGGGGAGTGCGTGGGCAGGGGGTGTGTGCGGGGCCACGTGCGTGGTCCTGGTCCTGCGTGGGACCACACGTTTGCCCCGTGTGTGCGTGCAGGGTCTGGCGTGTGCGTGGGGACACATGTGGTCGTGACCGTGCGTTGGGGACACGCGTGGTCCTGGCTGCGTGCGGCAGGGGTGTGCGCAGGGATGCACGTGGTCTTGTGTGTGCGGGCACATGCGTGATCGCAGGCGTGTTCAGGGACACGCGTGGGCTTGGCCATGTGCAGTGTGTGTGCAGGGACACGTATGAGCTCTGGCATGTGTGCGGGGACACGTGGTCCTCGTTGTGTGTAGCATGGGTGCACAGGGACACGCGTGTCCCCAGCTGTATGTGCAGGGACACGTGTGACAGCCCTATGTGAAGGCATGCACATGGTGCTGGCCGTGTGTGCACCGGGACACGCGTGTCCCCAGCTGTATGTGCAGGGACACACATGTATGTGGCCGGGGCCACGCGTAGCAGCTATGAGGGGCACGCGTGGTCCCCGCCATGTGCAGCCCGTGCCGTTGCGGGAGGTGGGACGCGGCGCTGTGTCATCGGCGGCTCCGCATCCTGTTGCACAGGATGTAGCAGCCTTGGAGATGCCCCCATGGTGGCACGCGTCATCACCGAGGCCGGCTTGGCACGAATCCCCCAGGCGGGTACCCGGGAGGCCGCGGAGCAGAGGGTTGGTGGTGGTGGAGGACAGCAGGCCAGGAGGACCTTCCGCATCACCTCCCTAGGAGCCCATGGGTCCCCGGTGATGGGGGAGGAGGGGGCAACCGCATCACCGTCACCTGGGGTGGCGGGCGCAGAGATGCCCCTTCCCGTGGTTATTCCTCAGGGGGAGGCTCTGATGGGGCAGAACAGCCGCTCGGATGCCGCTGTGGTCGGACGCGGCCCCGTGTGGGTGCCGGTGCCACCGAGGGGACGGCGGCAGCTGCGCCCGCCTCCCCGCTTAACCTTTCCTCCACTTGCAGCTCCTGCCATGCGGCCGAGCCGGGGGGGACGGTGGCCCCTGGCCCGCTAGGCACCCACTGCGGTGCCCATGGGACACCCGCTGCCACCCCAGGTCTTGCCCGTGCCTCGTGGGAAAGCAGGTGACGTGGCCACGTTTGCAGAGCTGCTGGTTGCGGGCCGGGTGCTGCCACCCTTGGGTGCCCTGTTTGAGCTCTGCTCTGCCAAGCGCCCAGCTGGAGACGAAGCGAGTCCAGGAGGCACCCGGGGACACCCTCTGCCCGGCCCCGGGCTGTCATTGCAGGAGCTAAAAATAGAGGGGAGCTCAAATTCAGGCTCCGGAGAGGGGCTCGGCCGCGGCTGCTGTCCTCGTCACCCGAGACCCGCTGCAGAGCAGCTTCACAGGAAAATACAGTTTATTACCCAAAGAGATCCCTGGGCCAAACACCCCCCGAGGTGCTTAGTGCTCTTCCTCAGACCCTGCTGGTGCCGTGGGACGGGGCACAGCTGGCGCGGGGGAATGTCCCCGCTCCTGCCCGCTGTCCTGCAGCCTCCGCCCAGCTCTGGCCTCTGCGCTGCTCCCAGCCCTCCTGCGAGGCTGCGGGATGACACAAGACACAGACACCTCCCACATGCGTCCATGCACACAGGCACACGAATATCCCTGCACACCGGCACCCATGCATGCAGACACGGGTGCACATGAGCACCCATGTACACAGTAAGCACAGACACACATGCACACGCTCACCCTTGCACATGAGAACCCATGTACACGGTCACCCTTGTGTACAAGCACCCGTGAATATGGCAAACCTGGGCAGCTGTGCACATGGTCACCTTTGCACATGAGCACCCACGCGTGAGGTCACCCATGCACACAGCGAACATGGACATGCACACATGTGAACACACATACATGTAGTCACCCTTGCTCACGAACACGGCAAGCGTGGGCATGCCAGCGCCTGTGTACATGGCCACCCTTGCAGATGAGCACACACGCACACAGCGAGTCCAAACAGTCCCCCCCACATGTACACCCATGCACAATGGTCACTCTTGCATGTGAACACATGTGCAAGCACAGACACCCCACATGAACATCCATGCACAAGGTCACCCTTGTACATGAGCACCCATGCGTGTGGTCACCCTTGCACACACCCACCCATGAACACAGCAAGCACAGACACCCACACATGGACACCTGTGTAGAAGGCCACCCATGCACATAGCAAGCATGGATATTCACGCACATAAGCGCCCAGGTACACGGGTGCCCACCCACACTGACACTCGTGCCCATGGACACGCGTGGACGCCCATGCATTCCCACACCCACGTGCCCGTGCATGGGGACGTGCAAGGCCCTGGCTCTCCCTGCAGCTGTGCCCGTGTGCACAGATGCGCACCCACGGACACAGGGACACACGACACTCTCCCCAACAGAGCTGCTTCCCCCTTGCAGATCCCGAGACACCCTGGGCGCTGCCACCAAGGCCACCGCGCTGGGGCTGCTCCCTCGTGGCTCTGCAGAGCCGCCGGTCCCGCTTTGCTAGTCCCACAGCGACAGCTATAGGTTGGCTGTCCCGTCCCAGCCTCCGCTCGTGTCCTGCCACGGAGCAGCCGGCTCTGCAGCGACCTCGCTGGCTGCCGCTGTGCCCGCACCCCAAGCCACCCGTGGCATCGGGCCGTGGAGGTCCCAGCCCCTGCACTTGCTGCTGGTTTCCTCCCTCCGGGTGGTCCCAGGGCTCCTGTGTTGGGGCTGCAGGTGGCTTTGGCAGACGCAGGTGCCCCAGGGTGTCCAAAGCAGCAACACCTTGGTTGTGTCCTCCACAATCTCCAGCACGGTCCCCACGGCAGCAACAGCCCCACACAGAGGGTGTCCCACCTGGTGAGGTGGATACCAGGGGGTCCTGCTGTCTGGCCCCCCAGCGCCAATGGGAAGGCTGCCTTAGCCCCAGGGCTCCCTGGCCATGGGCTTGTCCCTTGCCCTGCTCCTGCTGCCCAAGCAGGGATGGCGCTTGGCCAAGGCCAGTTTCCCTCAAGAATCACGAGGTGCCACCACCATGAGGCCGGACGTGGGCTCCTTTTGTGTGCTAAGAGCTCAAGGGGTGCTTCAGACCCCCCATGGGGGACGTTGGTGCTGCCCCCCGGGCCTGAAAAGCATCATCCCCTGGATAATGGACAGAACATGAACACAGCACCCAAAACATCACAGTGATGAAGACGCCGAGGTCAACCCGCTGCAGGCAGCTCGCCCCACTCCTCGTGGTGGCCACCAAGCCAAGAAGATGCCCCCCTGGAGCCCAGTCCCACCAGTTGGTTCTGGTGCTGCAGCAGGAGAGTCGTTTCCTCCAGCGGGACGAAGCTCCCATCCCGAGGTGGATCCTGCTCCATTACCGCAGGTCCCTCCGTGCTCCACTGTGCCGGGAAGCGGCCGGTGTCCGTGCTGCGCTGCACCGAGGAAAACGTGGACAACTCCAGGCCGCGCTGCTGGAACTCGCCCCGTTCTCCACATTGTCCCCAAGCCCTGCTGGCCAGACACGCATTGCCGCAGCCACCACGGGGTTAGGATGTGTCCTTCAGCTCTGGGCTTTGGAGCTGCGGAGGGGGCACCTCCGTGGATGGTGACTGCATCTCCTGGGACCTGTCTGCGGGGAGAGCAGGTGGTTGAGAGGACCCCAAGCCCTTTCCACCAGCTGGTCACCACCTTCCTGAGCACTGTGGTCTTCACTCGTCTCCCCAGACCTCATGACCCCCCTGCTCTGATACCATAGTGATCACCCAAACACACAAACAACGTGTTCCCCCACCGCCCCGAGAGCAGTGGTCATCACCCACCTCCCCAGACACTGTGGTCCTCACCCACCTCCCCAAACACCCTGGTGCTCACCCATCTCTCCAAATACCATCAGCCACTTCCCCAAACACTGATCATCACCAAACCACCCCAAACACCATGACCATCCCATGCTCTGCTATGAGGCACCAGCCCGTAGCCTCAGTCCCTGTGGAGCGACAGGCAGAGCTCCCCGTTCTCACCCCTTGGTGCAGCAGAAGGTCGACCCCGGTGGCCGTCACCTACCTGCGCTGAGGGACATCTCGGCGAGCTTGAGCGGCAGGTCGGAGGGGCTGACGCCGGCCGGCGAGCCCAGGATGTCGGGCAGGGCGTTGCGGCGGCCGGTCCTCCCCGAGGACGCGAAGTCCAGCACGGGCTCCACCTCTGTCATGCTGCCCCTGGGGCGACACGGCCACCACCCCGTCAGCCCCGTGGGCATCTCCAGGGGATGGGAAGGACCCCAGGGTCCCGAGAGGACCCCAGTGCGAATGCGGAGCGTCCTTACCGAGTGCCCTCCAGCCTGTCCCGGTGCTGCGTCCCTGCGCTGCTGTCACCTCCCTACTCCAGGCTCTCGGTGGCTGTGTCCCCTCAGTGTCACCCCGCAGCCACGGCCTGGGGAGGGCAGAGCAGAGAGTCACCAGCGATGCCCACAGGGCCACCCTGGTGCTTTGCTTTCCCAGGAACGGGGCGATCCAAGGTCCCTGAGTCCTTAATAACAGTCGTGGTGGGATGTTGGGAGCTGCTGAGCCCTGGGCCTGGCCAGGGGGAAGTGAGCTGGGCTCGGGCAGGGTGTAGGGAGGAGGGTGAATGATTAACCCGGCCGTTAGCAAACGCACAGAGCTTGCGCTGCTGGGGGAGGAGAGAGGGTGGATGGAAAACCCGCCCTAGAGCCCTTGTGGTGCGGGGAAACTGAGGCACTGCAGGGCGGCTGGGGTGCGCGAGATCTGTGGGGACACAAGAAGGGGTGCCGTGAGCATGGAACGT